GTATTTTTAGTAGAGATGGGGTTTCCCACACCCGATACTGCAGTGAGCTGAGATCAAGCCACTGCTTTCCAGCCGGGGCAACAAGAGTGAAATTCCATCTCAAAAAAAGGAAAAAGTTAGCTGGGCATGGTGGTGAGTGCATATAGCCCTAGCTGCTCAGGAGGCTGAGGTGGCAGGATTGTTTGAACCAGGGAGGTCAAAGCTGGTGGCATGTTCCTGTAGTCCAAGCTACTCAGATCATGCTACTGCATTCCAGCCTGGGCAAGAGAGAGAGATTCTGTCTCTATAAAAAATAAAAAGCGGCCAGGCACCATGGCTCAAGCCTGTAATCCCAGCACTTTGGGAGGCTGAGGCGAGTGGATCACGAGGTCAAGAGATCGAGACCATCCTGGTCAACATGGTGAAACCCCATCTCTACTAAAAATACAAAAAATTAGCTGGGCATGGTGGCACGTGCCTGTAATGCCAGCTACTCAGGAGGCTGAGGCAGGAGAATTGCCTGAGCCCAGGAGGCAGAGGCTGCTGTGAGCCGAGATCGCGCCATTGCACTCCAGCCTGGGCAACAAGAGCGAAACTCCGTCTCAAAAAATAAATAAATAAATAAAAAGGTAAAGCCCCAGGAAATGGTCTGTAGCAACTTTTCTCAGGCTACTTTCCAGCCTATGAATTCAAGCAATTTCCTAGCTCTAATTCCATGCTCCAAGTGGAGCACTTTATAACTCTGTTAGCCCAAATTTCTGCTTCCAGATTCAGAGACCGGCAGGCCTGCAACTTCAGCCCTGCTGTCTTCTTTGTGTTGCTAGTTCTCATCCACAGGGATGTTTATCATTTTGAGTGTGGTAGGGGGTAGAAAAGTGGTGGCATGGATAAACATGTTTTCAGAGTTTTATCTTTTTATGTATTACTGCTATGTGTTTAGAGTATAAATTTACAGTGCTATCTTGACTGGATGAAGTGGATTTAACTATTTGTACCAGGGAACTGGGGATCCCTGCCAATACTAATCTCCTGGGAATAGGTATCAAACCATCTCTAAAAAGATTCATAGAACCCTAGCCAACACCATGAGGGAAGGAGACTGAGATACCCTGGGGTAAACTGATCAAAAGCCCCAATTGAAACTGCTCTCCCATACCTAATGCTACCTTCATTCCAGTCCACAGAAAGATAGGCACAGGGCGTGCAGACATGCAAACGGGATCTTTCAAATGTGGTCTGGGCAGGCCCTCACTGACCAAGTAACATGTGCCTTAAGCCTCTTCCTCACCACTTGACCATTTCAGACTTGCACCTGACTAGTGAAAACTGCACACTGGCTGTACGAACGCCCCTGATGGAAGGCCCATCTAACTCTCTTCAAATCCTCAGTCTGCCTGCACAGGCCCAGCCTGAAGTTCCACTGAAAATCAGAACAATTGATTCAGGAGCCAAATTCTAGTCTAGACTATCAACCAATAAGCCAAGCAAGTTACTTTTAATTTCCAAGCAAATATTTTGTTTGTTTTTGAGATGGAGTCTGACTCTGTCACCCAGGCTGTAGTGCAGTGGTGTGATCTCGGCTCCCTGCAACTTTCACCTCCTGGATTCAAGCAATTCTCCTGACTCAGCCTCCCCAGTAGCTGGGACTACAGGCACCCGCCACCATGCCTGGATAATTGTTGTATTTTTAGTAGAGATGGGCTTTGCATTTTTGGCCAGGCTTTGATTTCAAACTCCTGACCTCAGGTGACCTACCCACCTAGGCCTCCCAAAGTGTTGGTATTATACGCGTGAGCCACCGTGCCTGGCCAAGAATTAAGGCTATTTTGTTTCTTTTAATTAGAGACAGGGTCTCACTCTGTCTCCCATGCTGGAGCACAGTGATGTCACCACGGCTCACTGCAACCTCAAACTCTCAGGCTCAAGTGATCCTCCTGCTGCAGCCTTCCAAGTAATTGGGACTACAGGCACATGTCACCACACCTGGCTAATTATTTTATTTTTGTAGAGATGGGATCTTGCCTTATTGCCCAGGCTCCAAGGCTCTTTTTTTTTTTTTTTTTTTAAAAAAAAACACAGGGTTTCGCCGTGTTGGTCAGGCTGGTCTTGAACTCCCTACCTCAGGTGATCCGCCCACCTTGGCCTCCAAAGTGCTTGGATTACAGGTGTGAGCCACCACACTCAGCCCTTTTTTTTTTTTTTTTGAGATGGACTCTCACTCTGTTGAGGCTGGAGGGCAGTGGTGTGATCTTGACTCATTGCAACCTCTGTCTCCTGGGTTCAGACGATTCTCCTGCCTTAGCCTCCTGAGAGCTGGGACTACAAATGTGCGCCACCACACCCAGCTAATTTTTGTATTTTTAGTAGAGATGGGGTTTCACCACGTTGGCTAGGCTGGTTGGTCTCAAATTCCTGACCTCAAGTGATCCACCCACCTCAGCCTCCCAAAGTCCTGGGATTACAGGCATAAGCCACCCTGCTCAGCTTCCAAGATTCTTTAACAATCAAAAGGAAGCAGTCCTACCTCCTCTCTTCCTCCCGGATGACTTCAGTATTGGTTACTGCTGACCACCACTCTGACTCCCGGTCTTACCTATTTCTTTCAGCTGCTAATGTATTTCAAAAGCATGAGATGGGTTGCCCTTATTCATGTGGCCAAGGTCAAGATCCTTAACATAAACAGCATTCAGAGATCCCCAAGGCTCTCCTCCCCAGCCTAATCTCTTATCAGACCCTGCTCTCTAGGGCTTACAAACTAATTTGGATCCCAGGCCAAATCTGACCTACATTTATTAAGATTCTACACTGAAACTAAAAAGACATGTATGTGCCTCTCACTTAGAAACCCAACACCTCTGAGGGTACAGAGACCATACTATTTAATTCCTCATCTCTGTACCACTATAAGGCCTAGCACTGTCCTGCAAGGAGGCATCAGTAAATGTTTGCCCAACTGAGGATCATCTCTCTGCATAAGCCCAGGGCTATAAAAATCAGAAGAAATTATGTTTATAAAAAAATGCTTTGAAACCATTTTTATGAATTATATAAGTATGCATATGAAAGTGATAATTATATTCTGCCCCCACTTTTCCATCTCTGACATTCTAGAAGTGAGAGCTTTCTCTAACTTCTCTTGGACCACCCAGAAACATGAGGCCTTAGGTATAAACCAGATTGAAAAATCGGAGCCTGTGGGAAACGAGTGTGCACGTAAAGTGGAAGCGGCTGCCTGGACTGTGACAGGGACAGTGGGAGCCTGCTGCTTTTAAGGGCCTGGGAACACACACTGCTGCTGACCTGGAACTCCTGCGGCTCACTCCCCTAAGATCGCAGGCTCAGTCCTCCCAGCTGGGGCTTTCCAGATCACTCATCTGTTCACCTCAGCTCAAAGCATCTCCAGATCAACAAAGTACCTAGAGAAACTTGCATTCACATTGTGGGTTTGCCACTTGTCAGCTAGTGCCATGTAACTTGTCGCATGGTCCTGATCTGTGCAATGGAAATAGCACCCATCTCAAAGGGGTTCTGTGAGGATTATATAAAGGCACATAAAGCACCGACTCCGTGGCTATGGCTGGGTCCTGGGCCACAGTTCTGTAGAGTTCATGGCCCTGGATAGGCATCACAGGGAACAAACCCCTCCCCCGCAAAGCCCTGACTCTGGCTCCATAGCACCCCAGCACTTCCCTGCCCGCCCTCTCCGTGTCTGGCTAAGCACAGGCACCCTCCTCCCCACAGCCCTGCTCCCAGCAGGCACCAGCCTCCAAGAAGGTTGTGGTTTAAAGGCCAGCTCTTCCTTAGTTGATCCTTACCCCTAGACCCAGCAGAGGAGGGTGCATGTCCATTCTGTGGGACACGGCCATGACCCCTTCCCTAGCTCCCACTTTAGCACACCATGCAGAGCAGAGACCTGACCTGAGCTGGCTCTAGATGGCCTCCTGAGGCTTGAGGCTAGAGAGCCACAAGCCAGGAGCAAGAGTCTAGAATACAAAGCTATTATAATAAGAGGTTTCTCTGCAGCGCCAAAAGCCTTAGACATTAACAGAGGCAGAAGATGGGTGGAAGACCCTGAAGGTAGGAGATAGGGAGAAACCCAAGTCTCCTGGGAGACTTCTGGAGGAAGTGGGAAGTGGGATGAATAAACAATGGTCCAGGGGAAGCCAGAGAGGGTCTGGAGAGTGTGGGGTGGCATGGAAGGGGTTATTAGAAGTTTATCTCCCAACCCTGCCCTTTGACTGCCTCCAAGGGGCCATTAAACTGGACCACATTACCTCCCAGGGCGAAGGGACTAAGGTGCTGACAGTCTGCTCTGATTTCCTTTAAAGACAGGATTTCAGAAAGCCGGGCAGCTTGGCTGCTCATCACTGCTTATGATTCTGATCTTGGTCACACTATAGATGTATAATAAGGAACCACCGAGGAGCTGTCAGGGTCCTTTTGTCCCTTCTACGCTCGTCTGCATGTCTGGAGTATGCTTTGAATCACAAGAGAAAAGCAGAGGATGCGTGCGTTCTGCACGGTTATTGATCGACACTAGGCAGTGGCAGCCAGACTGGGAAGATCCCTGGCCACCTCCCTCACGGTCAGGGGCTGTGTCACTGACCCCTTAGCCAAGCCCTTCTTCCAATGGCCTGGTGGCTCCCTCTGGAAACAATCAGGTCAGCTTCCTGCTCCGTTGAGGAGCACAGAAATGGGGCTCCTCTGTTTTGAGGACTTACCTGCAAGCCCTCCAGCCTACCACAAAGCCAGGGCTCCTTGGTTTTGACAGCCAGCCTTCTGCCAGGAGGGCTGGACTTCCAAAGGTAGCAGGGGCAGCTGAGCTCAGAGACTGGCAGCCTGGGGGTCCCAACTGTAGGCTTTCCCCTCTGTAAGGAGGCAGAGCTGGTGACAGAAACACTTAAGCACCAGTGGGGCACTGCTGCTGAGGGCAGAGTTAGGGCTTCAAGGAGGAAGAGGTGGGTGCAGTCCTCCACTGAGCACCCCTCAGCAAGCAGGATCATGCTCCCTGCCAAACTCACCCTCATCAAAGTGGGCCCTCCTCAATCTTCACAGAACACGGGTCAGTCCGCTCCTCCCCAAGCCCTGGCTTCCCCAGATACACAGACCAGCCTGGTTGTGGAGGTCCAGGTTAGGTGTGAGAGGGTTAGAAAAGAACCTCTGTGTGCTTCACTGTCCTCTCCAGAAGAGGGGTAAAAGGGAAGCAAAGTGAGCAGTATCTCCAGGTAACCTTCAACCCTCTGGCAGGAAATCAGCTCGTAGCAACAGAGCACCCCACACCACAGGCTTCCTGGAACAATCTCCACCAAGGGCATACAGCAGGAGGAGGAGATTCCAGGGCGGGGACACAAATGCTCTCCTAAAAAGCCGAGCCAGGGCAGGTCACATGAAGTGGCAGGGAGGGCAGGGCATTCCCTCCCCGTCTCCCAACTCTTGGATGTCAACATCAAGGACTCCAAGACTCCGGCCACTCTGCCCCTCGCCTAGGAGAAAGCAATGGGACTGGTGCTTCTGCTGTCTGCCACTGCCCTTGCCTGCCCCTTCCCAAGGCTGGACCATGGCAAAGGGCTCTAGTCTGGGTCCTACCCTCCCTCCACTGTAAGCTCTGGCAGGTTGGCCACCCTGGAAAAGGTCAGACCTGCTAGACCCCAGCAGGGGCTCATGCCAAGGGGCTAAGCTAGGGCACTTCCAAGTCCTGCCCATGCATACATACCAAGGGAAAGAGGAGATAGGCTCTGGAACCTCCAGGCCACAGTCCTTTCTGCCCAGAGTTGAAGGACTGGACTTAAAAACCCAGCATCTATCCCCAGATCCTCTGATGTGGGATGTGAGAATAGGGAAGAGAATACCAGGAGAGAGGTCGCAATCCAACCACCAGCACTGCGAACCTGCAAGATGGGCCCAGGCAGTGGGGGAAGTGACTGCTTCAGTGAAAAGGAAAGCCACAAAACAGGGTCTGTGGAGTCACTGCATAGGCACAGAGGCCCTCGGGAAACCAGAGAGCACAGTGATCTGGCTGGCATTCTGAAACAGGCTCGGCCCAAAGCTCCAACTCACAGGACAAGCTAAGCCCCTGAGAATGCTGGGAGCATCTGGGACACAAGGCCCTGAGGGTGCAGCAGCCTCGGGTCTCAGAGGCTTCCCTGTCCTAGCCTGGCGACCAGAGGTCAGAACAGTTCACTCGCCTCGCTAGTAGTGGTGTCACACTTGAAAGAACAGGTTCTTGAAAGACAAGGCTCTTATCAGCCACAGTCATGCGCCTCACCTCCTCCACAGGGCCAGTATGACCTCTGCCTGTAAGCTTTCAGTCCTCTGGCCCAGCCAAGCTACCAAGGTGGGGTGTGTGCCAGAGCTGATGGGGCCAGGCAATATGGTGACAGCAACAGTCCAGGCTGCAGGCATGGAGGCCTACTTTGTACCAGCAAATCTCTCCAAAGGGCTCCTATGTTATCAGTCGGGTGGGGACAGCACAACTGACAACTTGACCCCTCTTCTTTTTTTTTTTGAGATGGAGTTTTACTCTTTCACCTAAGCTGGAGTAAAGTGGCATGATCTCAGTTTACTACAACTCCGTCCCCTGGGTTCAAGTGATTCTCCTGTCCCAGCCTCCTGAGTAGCTGAGATTACAGGCACCCGCCACCATGCCCAGCTAACTTTTGTATTTTTATCTACTAAAAATTTTTTTATCTACAGGGTTTCGCCATGTTGGCCAGGCTGGTCTCGAACTCCTGAACTCTGGTGATCTGCCCACCTCCACCTCCAAAAGTACCAAAAGTGCTAGAATTACAGGTGTGAGCTACCACTCCTGGCCTTGACCCCCCTTCTTAGTCTATCCTGCCCCTACTTTTCCCCGTGAGGCAGTGGTTCTTTTGATTTCTTGGGACCGCAAGTGAACACCGAGAATGAAATGGGTATATTGTGCATGCCAACAAGCAGCAGCCTGGAGTCTAGAGTCTGGAGCCACCCAGATGCTAAGCAGGATGCAGAGCTGATGCCACAGGCTGGAAACTGAAGTTTGTGGCCAGGATCTTATCTACTTTCTTCATTAACATGTGCTGGGGATTTTCTTTCCCCCCAAACCTAGAACACTCCTTTCCTCCAGCCTACCCAAAAAACTTCCATCAACCAGGCCAACTTCTAACTTATCAGTTACTATTCTTGTGGCCCAGTGGGAGGAAGGAACCAGGTGGGGAGATGTCTGTAGTTTCCGCCAAGATCAGATGTTGGAGAAAGCCTTTTGTATGGCAGATCGTGGGCTAAGCTGGCCTGAGCAGTATGGCAAGAGGTAGGTCATATTACAAGGCTTACTTGGAACAAGACTGCGCTCCTAAAAGGTATAGTCCCATAGACGCCAATCCCCTAGGAGACCTAGGGAAGGAGGCATCCCTCCCTTCACCACCACAGCCAAGAGCCGTGGGTAGAGAACGGGGCGCAACAAATATCTGACCACAAGGTGGTCAAGTAGTCTGGAGAGGATTCCTTGTGGGCACAGGAGAGGCTTCCTGGTGGCACAGGCTCTAGAGGATAACCTAGACAGGAGGCAAGCCAGCACTGAGAGGCCAGAGAACCTGACAAAAGGGCCTGCAGACATCTGCTGACCCTGGACGTGGTTATCTCCTGGGAGGGGAAGAACAGGGCAGGGTCTGAAAGCCCTGGAAACAAACCAGTAACCTGTTCTTTGTGAGCCAGGCTGTTTTTATTCTTCACGCACTCTATCTTTAGCTTTCTTTTGCTCTCCTTTTATATTTAGTAATGCCTTTGAGAAGGTCAGTCTGTGGCAACTATGCTAATGGAACTCAAGGAAGGTGTTTGTATCCATGCTTGGACCAGAAGATTAAAGGGAAGCCATGTCGTCCCACCCAGCCCAGCCCCTCCAGAGTGAAGGTAAAAAAAACACAGAGTAAAAGATGGAGGGAACCAGAGGTGGGCCCCTTGCTCAGCTGCTGTGTCCTGTGGACATTTCCTTTTCAACAGGGACCCCCCGGTAGTTCCAACTAGGAAGAGAGGTCGTCATGAGCCCAAGGCCAGCCTGGTGCCATCTGATAACTTCCAGCACCAAGCCTGCAGGTGGCTTTGGGAAGAATCACTGCCCTGCACCCTGCTTTTCCTGGTCACTCAGGTTCAGCCCTGGTACGTAGGCTGGGGAGGACAGTGCCCCGAGAGCCCAGCACACACCTGCCTTCGTGTCTCCTGAGCTCCAGCTGAGGAGTATTCCTCTTTCCTGAGGAGCCGATGACGTGCTGTGACCTACTCAGGCAGGCTCCCTGGTTGCCAGGGAATCACTTTACCACCTCTGGAAAATGGCAATATCAGCTGCTGTGAGTAGACCCAAGGGCAGTGCTCCCTGGCACTGCCTCTGAGCCTCACCTCTGGGTGAGAAGAGTGAGGGTGGGGGAGGCCAGGGCCCCTCCTCAGTCCCTGCTGCCCATCCTCAGGAGTGGTCTGTCCTCCTGGATCTGGCCTACGCTGAGTTATAAGCTCCCTGCCAAGACAACATCCATCATGCCATGCACTACTGTTGTCAACTTTGGGGGGATGTGGAAGGGAGGGAAACACAGACCTTGGTCCATTACAGTGGCCCCAGGGAGCTGTCTTTGTTATCTGGCTTTATTATATAGCTTGCGATGGCCCACAGGGGATCGCCCACATGATGGTGCTGTCAGGGACTGGGGCTGTGCAGGGATGACCTGGGGGCTGTGAGGTGGGGGCCCAGAGCCCACCTTCAAGGCCCCCCTCTTTCTTTGATAAAGTCTTACTCCAGCCCATGCTGGAATACAGTGGTGGGATCATGGCTCGCTCCAGCCTTGACCTCCTGCCTCAGCCTCCTGAGTAGCTGCGACCACAGGTGTACATACCACCACCTCTGACTCCGCTTTCAAGCTATTTGCCTCCCCATTGTGAGGCTAGGGTATCCCCATCCCCACATGTGATAAACTCATACCTATGAGTTACCATTTTGTTTGTTGTTATTGTTTGTTTTTATAAAGCCAGGGTCTCACCATGTTGCCCAGGCTGGTCTTGAACTCCTAACCCTGATTCTCCTGTCTCAGCCTCCCAAAGTGCTGGAATTATGGGCCTGAACCCATAATGCACCCATTTTACACTACCCATGATGCACTAACATTTTACAGTGAACAATGGACCAATGCTGGAGGACCTTGATTCCAGGACTGCTGTGCTCAATAGCAGAGTAGCTGTAGGTCTTTGGGCAAATCATACCTCTCTGGGCCTTAGGTCCTCCATTTGTAAAATGACCATGCTAATACCAGCCTGCTAACCTCACACACTCCCTGCAAAGATTAAATGAGCAATGACTGTAGGCTGTGGAGTGCTACATACCCAAATAACATCAAGTTTCAGCCTCACAGAGAGGAAGGAAATAGGGACAAGAGGGGATACTGTGGCTAAGCCAAAGGCCACAGAAATGTGCGAGACGAGGCTGGGGGATCAGTTAGAACCTGGCCCCAGACAGAAACAGACAGGGTCCTCTGGGTGCCGAGCAGGAGAGGCAGACAGAGGTCAGTCTGGGCTGGCAGACAGTTCAGGAGAGAACTGGCTGTCAGCAAACATCTGAAGGGCAAGAGGAAAGACACAGGAGGGAGAGGCTCAGAATAAAAGAGGCATCCAGTTCCAAACTTCACTCCCGAGAACCAAGGAGCTGGTGAGCACTGCCCCAAAGCTCCCAGACGCGATAGCATTTTGTTAATATACACATAATGCCACACCCTCAAAGTGCCCAAAGCCCTCATGAGGCCAGCCTTGCCCTCTGGACCAGAGATCCCAGCAAAGTGGCTCACTTGTGTAAGACTGAACTGAGGTCTTAAGACAGAGGCTCAAAGCCCAGAGCACACTGCTGAGATCTTCCTACAACACCCATTCCTGACTCTGCCAAGCTGAGTCAAATACCTGTCCTCTCACAAATTGGAGGTGACAGAGAATTGAGTCCAGAAGAGCACCATTTTTGTCTTTCTGTACCTAAAACTGGCACCACTGTCCTGGGCATACTCTTCCAAAGGAAGAGACAGATGGGGAGCATGACTTGCCCCAAATCCCCCAACAGAATCCAGAAAGCACAGCCACACCAAAGCCATGTCCTCATCCCAGTCCCAGCAAGAAACAGACCAGGAGATGGGTGGGCATTCAGGAAGCTGATGTCACTGAGGGTCTGCATCTCAGACAGAGCCCTTCCTAACACCAGCCACCATACAGATCACCCCCAAGCCATTAGGAGAAAGAGACCATTTGCCAAAAAAGTCAGCACTTCAGACCAGGCTCCGGTGGCTCATGACTGTTAATTCCAGCACTTTGGGAGGCCACATTGGGCAGATCACCTGAGTTTGAGTCCAGCTAGGCCAACATGGTGAAATCCTGTCTCTACTAAGAATACAAAAAATTAGCCAGCATGGTAGCACATGCCTGTTGTCCCTGCTACTGGGGACGCAGGAGAATCGCTTGAATCTGGGAGGTGGAGGTTGCAGTGAGCCCAGACGGAGCTACTACACTCCAACCTTGGCAACAGAGTGAGACTCCATCCCGAAATAAACAAACAAACAAAAAGTCAGCACTTCATACTGGAAAGAGCCCCCTGCCTGCCTGCAAGTCACACAACCTGGTCTCTTGCTTCAGTTCTTCTGCCTCCTGGTTTGGGGACATTGGGCAAATTTCTCAACTTCCACTTCCTGATCTGCAAATGGAATGACTCAATGATTTTAAGTTCCATTCCATTCATTCTAACATTCAATTTGAACAAAGTAAATTAATAAATGGCAACAGAACTAGGGCAAAGCAAGTTCTCCATGGGTCATAATGGTACCTGGCACTGCCTCAACATATCACATCTTTTATTTTTAATTTTAATTAATTAATTAATTTTTTTGAGACAGAGTCTCACTCTGTCATGCAGGTTGGAGTGCAGTGGAACAATCTTGGCTCACCTCAACCTCTGCCTCCTGGGTTCCAGTAATTCTTCGGCCTTAGCCTCCTGAGTAGCAGAACTACAGGTGCACGCCACCATGCCCAGCTAATTTTTGTATCTTTAGTAGAGACAGGGTCTTGCCATGGTGACCAGGTGATCCGTCTGCCTCGGCCTCCTAAAGTGCTGGGATTATAGACGTGAGCTGCTGCGCCCAGCCTATCACATCTTTTTTATGTTGCCCAGGCTGTACTTGAACTCTTGGACTCAAGGAATCCTTCCACCCTAGCCTCCCAAGTAGTGGGGACTACAGGCATGCGTCACCATGCCTGGCTCAATTCATCATGAACAATAGTTCTTTGGGGAACCATCTCTCCCCAGCTGCCACCTCTGTGCCCTGTAACCCAGGCTTGGGTGCTCAGGGTACCAAATGCACCCAGCCACAGTACATGGTCTGGGGTTGTATACAGACTCCATTTCAGAGTGAACCCAGGACTCTTGCAGGCATCCTAAGAAGAGATCCTGAGAAGATGAAGGCCTGTGCCAAGAGCAGGCACCTTCTATCACATGGGAACCAAGAATGGCATCATTTTCCCCACATGCAGCCAGACACACCCACAGGCACCTGAATCAAAGGTTTCCCTTTCATCAAAGGACACTTTAAATTGGATTTTTGGATGGTGTAATTAAAGAAGTCCAAATGATACAATCTTGCACACATGTACAACCATTTTCCATTTAAT